TTAAATTGAAATGTAAAAACTAAAATATTATAAGCGCGGGCCGTCTTAAAGCACATTCACTTAAAGTCAACTTTGTTATCTAAACTCAATAAAAAAAAACGCTTTATATATAATATTTCGTACACTTGTACCTCTTTACTTAAATTCATTTAATGTGCCATCTAAGAAAAATCCAACTCCTTTTATTCTCGGTCAGACCGAAATCTCCCTTAATATAACACCGCTATATTAAACGACATTAAGAACACGGCAACACTGGTTTTGATGCGGCAAATGTTAAAGCTGTTTTTATAGACTTTTTTGTGCTGATTACAAATCCGTAGGTATAGATTTTGAGAAAAACGTGGTCAAAGTCTAAAAAAATCGCGTTTTTTGCAATATTTGAGAAGCTCCAGACAAAAAAACAAATGGTGGTAGAACCTTTCACTTAGGCCTTAGCTAGAACTCTCGACTACCATCCCTGAAAATACCATCCCGATGGTCACTTATAGTCATTTATTGAAAATAAATAAATACTGTAAAATTGTGCTTTTGAAAAAAAAATATTTGCGAAAAATCAGTTTTGCTGTTCAAAAAATTAATATAAGGGACCTTAGGGTCAAGGTGCCGGAATGGTAGTTTCATGGGTGGTAGTCGAAAGTTCATGCGCCAAGTTAAGCCTAAATGAAAGGTTCTATCACCTTTTGTTTAATAGCGATAGGTATTCAAACGTTGCGTTTGGCAGTCGTGTCGTGCGGACGTGTTTTTGAGCGCTCCTGATTTTCTTTTCGTTTCTCTATTTTTCGCTTTGCTGCAAATCTAATGAGATAGTGACTCTAATTTTTAATATACATACAAACACATAATTTGATTTGCATAAGCATGCCTTGTTTGTGTGGGCATAGAGTGGAAAGAGCCCAACAAGCTAAAATTCAATGTGTACAGTGCAATGAACTTTTTCATTTGAGTTGTGTCAATATCGTGCAGGCAGATGTCGAGTTTTTGGTAAACTCATTTCGCTGTGAAGTGTGTGCTCTTGCACATAGCAGTTCCCTTCGCACTCCGCCTCCCACTGTTGTGCTTGACTATAGTGTTGTTGCTTCTGGCTCTAAAATTCTGTACCTGACAAGCGCCGAATGCGGTGCGAAAAGCAAGGCCGATATTCCAAATCAACAAAAATCTCTTAAAGCTATTTCTCCTACTGTCAAATCTAAAAGCTCGAATGCCTATATTGCTGCTGATAAACAAGAAATACTTTTAGATTCTGTGTTTAAAGAGATCGTTGCTCTTAGAGCTGAAAATGCTCGCGTCATTACATTGGTTAGTGCGCTCTATGATGTTAAGAAGAGCTTAATTCTTAAAATGGAATGCTTGGAGTCTGAACTTCGTGCATTAAAGAACCAACTTCATCATGAAGAGCTAGTTTCTGCTATCAACCATCTTAATTCTCAATTAAAAGACTCACGCGTTAATGCATGCTCCTATGTAAATAATATCGATCGCGTTGATGAGAATGCTCTGTCTAATGCCCGTTTTAATTCGCCCGGTAACTTGCCTGCTCCTACTTCTTCAACGCCATCTGCTGTTGCTACCAACACATACATGTTATCAACTTCTATCAGAGACCATAACGATTATAAGAAATAAAATTAAATATTGCTCCATAATTATTACTGAACAATGGAAAGTCGCAACGCGCGCTATGTGGGACCGCTATAGGGATCTGAAGAGGGAAGCGAGACGTATTTGCCGCAACAAGAAGAAAGAGGGCGAAATACGTGAGTGCGAAGAGCTTGAAATGCTGGCCGACAGGAGGAATGCCCGAAAATTTTACCAGAGAGTTAGGCGACTTACGGAAGGTTTAAAGACCGGGGCGCACTCCTGTAAGAACAATAATGGCGACCTAGTAACTGATGTCCAGAGCGTACTTTAATTATGGAGGGAACACTTTTCCGCCCTACTAAATGGTAGCAGCACGGAAAGTTGTGGAGAAGAAGAACCCGAGCCCGCAGTCGATGATGACGGAGTCGACATTCCACCGCCTGACTATGACGAGGTACTTATAGCAATAACGCGGCTGAAAAAACAACAAAGCCGCTGGAGCTGACAGCCTGCCAGCTGAGCTATT